TCTCTTCTTCTCCTCCTCTCTAGATTCTCTTTCCAAAATATCCCAAGAAGTTTCCCCTGTGGGACTGCCTAATTTTAGGGCTTTTTAATGCAATGTGGTTTTTTAAATTGGGTCACTTTCTGTACATGTGTCCCACCTCCAGGTCATCAAACACGGTAGTGATAGGAGGACACGAGTGGGACTTGATGCTGTTATGTTTGCTGAGAGCTTCGTCGAAGTCCAGCTGCTGGCTGTTGATACTGATCTCCATGCAGCCGTAGTAAAAGGCCGTCACAGGGGTGGTAGGCAAAGGGATGTCTTCTGAAGGAGAGAAACACAGTAACTGTTTGATGGGTTGTTATGACACTAAGTATTGTTGTTCATGTTACTTTACATATGAATGAGTCCTTGTTTTGGCGCTTTTAATCTAGTGCAGTCATCTAGTTAAAGGTTTTCTGATTCCTTTCATTCTCAGCTCTGCTTAGTGCTAATCATGAAACATGAAAAACAATAAACACCTCCTGCTAAGCTGTGACTATGGCAACATGTGGATATTAGCATTAGCAGCTCAAAGCACCACTGTTAACACAAGGCTCACAGATCCAGCAGGAAGGGCAACACATTCAAGAGGATAACCCGCATAAAAAACTCAAAACCCTTTATTCATTTTGATCACACATCAAATGCTTATGCTTAAATTCCTTCATAATTACTAACCGGGTATTCCACCAATGTATGTGCTGACAGGGTTTTGCATGGTGCTGTTGAGGTGTTCCAGCTCCTTCTGCAGGGCACTGGACTCCATGTAAGTCGCACTGGAGAAGTCGGCTGAGATCAGGATTTCTGTGGGAGTCACGTTCAGCTGCACCATCAGCTGATCAGGGTAACACAGCATCACAGTGTCCAACGTGGCCACCAAGGCATCGTGCAGGAACACCTGCAAATTCTGGAGAGCACATTGGTTTAAGGATGATAGACAGGTGCTTATTTTCAGCCAAAATGTGACCAAACTTACAGAAGCATCTTTTCCCTTTGGTAAAACAGCCACTGACAGGGGGACTGTGTTGTTGTAGACAACAGCAAAGAGGACACCTGTGCTGGTGGATGGACGAATGTTCATCTTTATATCCATTTTCCAGCTTCCAGAATCACCTGGTTACACACATGCATGCCAAGAAACATTTATTCCTTTTGTCAGGTTAAACATTTAGGATTCTTTACAAACTTTTAACAAAACAACTTCCCACAGGTCTGTTATATCATTCTCAAAATTACATGGTTGTAAACTAATAGAGGGTTCTGTTATAATGTGGAACACAGACATGACCAGCCTATACATGTCAGCAATGCAGCAACTTTGGCCTTTGACCATCAGTCATTCAGTCATGGATCTGAATATCCAACGGCTGTTAGTTATAATGTCCCCAGTGATTTGTTTCCAGCATCATCTCACAGATCAAAAGTCAGAGAGGTTTTAATGAACATGACTGTGAATTCAGTGTACTGCAGTGACCTCTGCAGTCACCTGATCTAACCAGGAAACCTCTGGGATATGGCAGAACAGAAGATTGGCAGCATTAACGTGCAGCTGAACACTCTGCAAAAATGATGTGTGATGAAATCAACATGGAGCAGTGTTTCAAATGAGTGCAACAGCTTGTGGGATCCATAACACCATCAAATGAAGCTGTTTTGAGAAGAAGGCCTTATCCAGCGTTAGTATGGCTTTCTAATGACGTGCTGGGTAAAAGTCTAAGATCTGGCCAATGTATATGGCTGTCACATGATTTTCACAAGCAGATCATTCAGTTCCGGAGCCCCTTGTTTCCTCTATATGTAGCAATGGGAGTTTCTGTATCAAATAAGCTTTTTTATAGTTCTGTATTGTCATGATCCAGCTCAAGATTAATCACGAAAAATGGTAGAGACACAACTTGAAGAAAAAATTAAGAAGGATCTACTTTCAGTCGCTCCTTTCTTCACAAGAAGTAACTCCACATGTTTGATTTGGCAGATATTCACACCAGATGTTGGGAAGGACCAACCTTAAAGGGATTTGTCTCTCCTCTCAGGATCAAACCAGGAAGCTTTCACTTGTTAGGCAAATGTGTAAACCACTACACCAGGATTTACCGAATTGTTAGCGAAATTAAGCAAAGACCATAATTAACTTAACGAGGCATGTTAATCAGTGTGTCAGCAGGTGTGTGGTGTTGTGTAGGGTAAACCTAAAGTAACCAGGCAGAAGTCAACCAAACAACATCAAGATAATAATAACAATAATTGTTATGATTAAGGGCCATGCGTCAGGATTCATGAACTGTGTCTCATGTTATGTCCAGGTTACCTGTAGGCCGGGGATGTAACATGATAATGCAATGAACAGGTGACCTGTCCAGGGTGGCCACACACTGGCATATGCTGGTAACGCAGCAAAAAAGGTTTGCTAGTCAAGTTCTTGGATATGGGAGGTCTGGGAGGCGCAGTACACCAGAGCAAGCAACGACATCGAAAAAATAGTTCCTTGTAATGCTACGTTATTTCAAGAACAGAAAGAGTAACCTCAGGTGCACTTTACCTCTCCAACACTGGTGCTCTCTAAAACACAACAGACACACAGCATACTTTATGTTACTGTTGTGGGTATCACTGGGATGTACAGTATGACTCTTTAGAATTCCTGCTGCTGCTGATAGATGCAAATGAAAAAACTTCTAAAGGTATCTGGAAAAAGTCTGAAAGTCTGCTGCCTGTTTTTTTTATTTTTTGTCTATTTCTTTAGGAACAGTTGGATGGATAAGGGTGGCTTTGGTGCTCGGGGTCTCCATGTGCACCTGGTGACAGTTTACTTTATCAAGCTGGTGTATCTAAGGAGTAGCATGGCAACTGTTTCCTGCCTGATCATTGTTTCAGCCTCTTTGGTAAAAAGCCCATTATGACAATGTTCTGATTAATCTTTTGACATTATTAGTGATCTTCATCTCCTTGTCCTCCTGCAGAGTCTCGTCTCTCAAGACTGCATAACTGTTTATGCACCAGGAGAACAGTGCCAGCCAGCATTCCTCTCTCCCGACCAACACGTCAATGTTCCACCTGTCTGCAGGATTACTTACCCGGATTATTGCTTACCAGCTGCCTACCCCTTTCCTCCTCGTCTCATCTGCCTCTCCTAAATTCCCAGCTGCCTACCTGCTGTACATCGCCCGCTTCTCCAGTAAAAAGTGTGATGAGTAAGCTCTCATTAACAGTACACAATGTTCACCCTTCACCAGCCTCTAACTGATGTTTTCCCTTTTCCATCAGATTCCTCAAACTGATCACATCCCTTTGAATCCGCTTTTAGCAGAAGATAACAGTATGCAGTTGTCAAGGGAGCCCCCCAGTGGACTGTTATCTTCAGACTTCTCCAGAGGGTTGATTTTAACAGACCACTCCAATCACAACAAAAAGATCTTATCGTAAGATGATAGTAAGGGCGAAAACATAAAACCTATGAAACTTCATAAAATCTATGAAGCGCCTTGAGGCGACTTTTGTTGTGATTTGGCGCTATATAAATAAAATTGAACTGAATTGAATTAAAAACTTTATAGTGAGTTGAGGTCATCCTTGCCTTTGATGAGAAAAGTGGACCCAAACCATGCCAGCAAAATGTCTCTCACGGCTCATAAAAGATCACAGGTCTTCCTTTAATGCATCATATGATAAGTTTAGATGTATATCAGCTGTATCAGCAGGTCTTTGCACAAACCTAACAAGACTAGCTGTGTGGTATTTTACACTCACTATGTTCCTGTGTTAATTCAGAGTTCTCAACCCACTGCATTAACTCCCCTCTTAAAGACTTTAAACCAGGGAAATGCACAAAAACTAAATTTAAGAGCTGCTGCTGTATTGCCTTTAAGCTGTTGGTGTAGACCGAATGCAGATGCCAAATGTTCCCTGAGGGATTAATAAAGTGTAACATAACTTACTCACTGTAGTCTATGTTGAAGTGTGCTAGTCCCTCCCCGGTGAAGAAAGATCCTCGTTCTACACGCACGAAACAGTGTTTACTTGTCTTCTGCTGGATTACCTCCTTTACCCCAGACGCCCCCTGATTCATCAAGTTCCAGCCCCGGATGCAGCCATCCAGCCTGGGGTTGATCTGATAAACAAACAGTGCAGTAGCGTGAACTTCTGCTCTTCAACACAATGTCTCAGCCAACAAATTTAAATTCACACAGGTTTAGTTAACACTAACCCCCCCCCGGATGCATCTTGCCTCCTGGGAAGGGTGGTTATGTGAACAGCTTACAGGCTTGATGACATTGTCGGTGCGGTTAGGCAGGCCAGCGATGTAAACTTTGGTCTCCAGCTTGCCATTGACTGATGTGAAGAGACTCTCGGGGCTGTTAATGCTCATCACAGCTTCCCTGCTGATCTTCACACTGATGCTGCTCTCCAGCTCATCCACAGAGATCTGTGTGTCACACGTAACACTAAATCATAATACAGCACGTCACTGTTATCATGTACTCTGCACCCTACATGTTACCACAGCGTAATAGACTTCGCATCATTTTAGTTCGTCAATTTAGTCTTAAGGATTTATGTTCGCTATATGATAACAAAGTGACAGACTTTCTCACCACATGCCATTGTCCATCATTGATTGCTTTTCCTCCGCTGGTAACCTTAGATGTGTGCTGGTTTTTGAACTGGACTTCAATGCGACCGCCCCTGAGTCCCACCATGAACCACGAGCCTTCAGAAGACTCAGCATACAGAACAACTCCCTCTGGGTCAAAAGTACGCAAGTCAAACTCGGCTGCAAACCTACCAGGAGGAAGACAGGTAAATTTACACAGTAACTAGAATACGGCCCTTCTCATTAACCTGCAGGAAGTGATGAATAACATGTAAGATCCTAGCTGTGCCTTATTACTTGTTACCACTGCAAAAAAAGTAAGGCCAGCATTGTGCACAATTTCAAGGCACTTTTGGAAAATATTTTCTTATCTCCAAACAATTCCCTCATTCCAGAATTACCTGTCTCTTTGAATTATGGCCACATCTGTTTAAGCAATCCTTCCTAGGCTTTTTTGACTGATGACCCGTTATATGAAAAAAACAAAATAAAGTTCCATGACCCCCTCCCCACAAAAAAAAAACATACCACCTAAATTTCACAAATGTTCTTTTCCAAGTTGTCTTCTTGGGCAGCACTGTATTGTTTTAACCACTTTTAGATCCCTCCACTAAAGTCCAGGTAGGACCGCAAACCTTGTGCATCTGCAGTGCACAATGGATCTCAACAAAGTAGCAACCCTGTAGCTTGATTTTCAGATGGTGTGCAGGGCTCGCAAAATTTCAAAATCCCTGGTAGCCCTTCGGGCAGGGACTCTTCAGTTTTTGGTAGCCCAAAATAAATTTAAGTAGCCCGAATAAAAAAAGAGATTATTTTTATTGTATAATATTGTAAAGGAAAGAAAACATCAATCAAAAAAAATTGTTAAAACAAATTACAACTACTGTATAAAAATTACAATAATCAACTAAAATATTTTGTTCTAATTGAACAGAACTTTCTGTGAACTTGTAAGAACTGTGTAGAGCATGAATCAGTCTGTGTCAGATTCTGAATCTGAAAGAGAGGAGATCTGCACATGCAATCTACCTTGCTACCCTCCTGTAAGCCACATTTTTAGATCCATCCATTCTTGTGGAATTTTCTCTTTCTCTTCGTCATCTAGCAAAAAGGCAAAATGTGTGACAAGATAATACACCTCTTCCTCCCCATAATTTGCCAGCTCTTCTCTGGGGTAGGGAAGAGTGGAAGGGTCAAAAACCTTGAAACAAGAGAGAGGCTTTTCACGCAGATTTTTAAATCTGTTGTCCATGTACTTGACTGTTTTGTAAATAATCTTCTGAATCGCTGCACCAAAGCTTTCTCTGCAATTAATTGTCACTCACCAATCAGTACTACCGCTCTTTATACACAGTTTGTGCGATCGCACTGAGTTAGTAACTGAGATTCTAAAAGTAATTCATTACTTGAAAAGTAACTATTGCGTTACTTTAAAAAAAGTGTTTATCCCTCTGGGGTCCAGGGTATAACTGGCCATTTTTAAACACTTTTGATTTTACCTCTACATTTCACCTTTAAAAACTATTTACTTGCCTTGTTTGGTATCATCCTTTTCAGCACAACCTCACATGTCTGAATTTACAGTTATGTTTTCATTTTGACATACTGTATTAACACAATTGATCTAAAATCAGACAAAAAACATAAAATCCGAGTAGAGGGAGTTATATTTTTTACTGTAACAACCACAAACATGTTTAATGAATCTTCTCCTGTTTTCCTCCTGTTTTCTACCTGGAGACAGCAGTCGCCTCATTGTTCTGACACACAACACAAAACTATCCACAACACTACACACTAACTACACAAGACAACACATTAACTACACACTCCAAACACGATAAACGTTACGCTAAATCTCTCACATCTCAAAACTCACTCTCTCTCTTTTTCTGCTGTCTTTCTCTCTCCCTCTCTCTCTCTCTCTCTCTCTCTCTCGCCATCACTCCTAAAACTTCCCTCCTTGCTAAACAACCAAATGTCATGTTGCCATATCATTTTTGATTGGTCGACATGGTGCATTTTTCCACCAACACAAAAGGGGTGTTTTTTGTTTTGTTTGTTTTTTTGGTCATAAGCAGAGAGTGCTTGCTAGCACTGTCCTTAGACAGTAAACGTGACGAAACTATTCGGGAAAAAACACAGCGTATATATTGCTTATCATGACTCTGGTTTTACACACAATTTAAAAACTGGTATATATCACCTTGTTGGTTTGTCATCTTACCACGACTACTTTATTCTTCCTCAGTCAAACACAGCACTCATGCGATTGTTTTGCCCCCTAGCTCCAGGTGTTGCGGCAATCACTGCTAGAAAGTGATTGCCGCGCGCACATAGCTGCTTAAAGCTGTAGCATCCAGATTACTTATGTAGACAGCTACTTCCGTGCAACTGATATAAGATGCGGTAGGCTGAATTTCAAGGCAGCTTCAACCGTCTGTTTGTTGAAAAATAGTAACCGCATTTTCTTGTTAGTAACGCTAACGGCGTTGTAACGATAGAAATAGTAAGTAGTTAGATTACTCGTTACTGAAAAAAGTAACGCCGTTACTTGTAACGCCGTTATTTCCATCACTGGCTATGAGACCCTATTGATTCAGGGCTGAGACAACAGTGAAAACCTTTAGCATAAAAAGGTAACATCTTTGCACTACATGTATTGTGACTCTTGGTCCTCTACATTAATACGTGTGTGTGTTTCTGTGTGTGTGTGCGTGACAAACACCTACTTTGTGTTCTCCGGCAGGCGGAAGCGCAGGTAGATGACAGGAAGGCCTGCGAACTGCTCTCCCAAGTAAAGCATCTCAGGGTGTTTTTCCTCAAACAGGTTGAGACACACGGGGATCCTCTTGCAGTTCCGCCTATCCTGTGCCAGATGCAAACCCTGGCGACCATCGCAGTAGCACGAATAGCTGCCCTGAGTGTTTATACAAACCCCCTTGCACACATTCATCTCACACTCGTTCATGTCTGCAATGACAGATTGGGAAGACTTTATTAGCAGTGACCCTTGATTCTGCGTCTGGGTAATAAATTTGAAAGCTTACCATCACATGTCCTGGAGGTGAAGTTATATTTATATCCCACAGGACATCTGCAGTCGTAAGTGCCTGGTATGTTGACACATTCAGCTTGCCTTCCACAGATGCTGCGGTATAGCAGGCATTCATTGACATCTGGAAGGCGTGATGGGAAAAGTGACGATGAGCAAACAGAGTGGTTGGAATCTGAACTTCAGAATAAGGAAGTAAAGTGTCATTTTTGCTACTCGGATGAAGTACAATTAACACACATAAAAGACAATCTGATTTTTTTTTAATGTTTCAAATGAAAAACACACTTTAATGAATTGCCTTACTGTAGTGCAAGCAGAGATACAGACAGGTGAAAAAGAAGGATTTCGTAGGTCTCTGTGCAGTCGTTTAGTAGAAATAACTTGTAGTAATTGTTTTCTGTGTTTATCAGTTTCTCACATTGCTGTGAAGGAATTTGGGCCCTCTCTTTTTTACATCATTGCCTCAGTTCATTCAGGTTTGTGAGCTTTTCTCTTAAGGTCCCACAGCAGCATTTAGTTAGGTTGAAGTCTGGACTTTGACTGGGCCATGGCAGCACCTTGAGTCTTTTTTTTTTTTAAAAACATGCTGTTGTTGATTTGCTGCTCTGCTTGGGATCATTTCCCTGTTGCATGACCCAATTTGGACCAAACAGTCCCACATTTAACTCCAGATTACTTTGGCACACAGAGGAGTTCAGAGCAGACTTAACGTCTGCCAGGTGCCCAAATCATCTCCCCTCCACAACCGTGCTTGACAGATGGTGTGAGGTGTTTGTGCTGATATGCTGTGTTTGGTTTTCTCCAAACATGATAGATAGATAGATAGCATAAAGAATAAAAATAGTATACAGTAAATTCTGGCCAATGATCACTCCAACCTTGTGAATAATTTTTTTTGATCCTGAAACAGAGTGCTCTCTGCCATGCAAACTGAACACTCTCTGAGAGATAGTCAGCAATCCAGGAGACAGTGTCAAGGTCCCTGGGTCTTTGACCCAGGTTCTGGGCTAGTTGCTGTTTTCTGGTTTTGTATTTCGATTATCTTGTATTTCAGTTTTTACATTAGTTGATAAGTTTATTAATCACTTTTTAGTTTTCCTATTCTGACTTTCCAGTCGTGTCTCTGTTTCCTATCTTCTGTCTTTGTGTCACATTTATATATCTTAGTCCTGGTCTCAGCATTAGTTATTTTCTGTTTTACTTTGATAATGTACATGGGATAAGAGAATATGCTCAATTTTGCTTCTCTTTTCTCATTATCCCTGATCAGCGTCATCTGTGCCACGTTTCCTCATTATCCTCAGTGTGTATATTTTGTCTAAGTCTCAATCCAGTTAGTTAGTTAGCTGTTTTTCTCTGTCAGGTTTCCAGCATTAAATATAACTCTGATTTTTAGGGGGGGGGGGGGTGTTTCTGTTGAATAATGCACTTTGGATCATGCCTCCCTCATGTGACAGACAGTAGATGATGTGACACTCATCCTAAGCAGTGTCTGACTCAGGAGAAATGGTTAAGTGGTATTAAAGAAACTGGAAATATTACACAACGTGATTCTCCCAATGCCAGTGGAAGTGAGCATGCTACAGCAGGTAAATAACAACATCCTCCATATGAAGCTGGTAAACAAACTGAAAAGGCTCAAACACATATTTCACTTGAGAGCTAAGCCGGGCCAGAACCAGTTCTCCAGCATCTTCATGACATGTGACATCAAGGTACATGGTCTGATGTTGTTAAGCCCTGATGGAGCAGCTTTCATTGGTACTAGTGCTACTATACATGGCGTCTTTTTCCACGGCACTAGAACCTTTTGAAGAGGTGAAGAGATGCTGCAGGATGCCAGACAGCCGGACAGCACAGTGCATCAGGATCCTGGGATTGATGCCATCAGAGTCTGCAACCTCACCTTGATGTAGCTGTTCCAGCAGTCCTGCTCCTCAGGGGGGTTGGTTTTGAGGTGGAAATGGGCTTCTGCTACATACCTGTGCAGGCTGCCACCTCCCTGATGCCGATATCTTGGATGGCTGGAGAGATCAGCTAATCAGCTTCACGCCCATTCATGTGTCTTTGATGTTGTTTAGCTTAGTCTTCAGTCTCCGGCACATGCATCTTCATGTTCAGTCTTTCTCTAATTGTACTTCCATAAACCTTAATATTTAAGTGACAGTTAACTACATTGCCATAGCTCTTGTTTTATTTCTTATTTCTTGTCACTTTCTCTGAGCGTTGCATGGTCTGAACTTGGGTTGAATTTGGTCACATTGTGCCAGCAAACTGCCAAAACGTCTGCTTTTATAGAGTTTTCATAAAACTGCACAGAGTCCTTTGAAAACTTCCATTTTCACATAGCTGTATGTGCACAAAAGCTGCTTTCAGCTTGGGAGGTTAACAATACACTTCCACATACACACTTCCATTACATACTTATTTATTCTATATTTGCTACAACGACTATTGAGTATTAATGCAAATTAAAGACAGTCTGAAAATATCAGCATGGTTTCTCAGAAAGGGTCCACATTGTAGACAGTGACCCCTGTGACACTATTTTACAGGAATCTAAACATTTTCTAAACAAAAAAACGAAATCTTATCACAGTGGTGATAAGATTTCTCTCTGGGGAGCTCAAAGATTCTTTTGGCATCTCCGGAAAAATGGAATCCAAAAATTATCAAAAATTTAATGCATATAAGTAAATAATTTCTAGTTATAGTAACTGGTAGATTGATTTTAATAAAATATCTTGAATCCCTAAATAATAGGTTATAATAACTGATTTCTACTGACAGGCTGTATTATCTAACAGTCCATCAAAAAATAAATAAATAAAGAGGGCAAATTTATCAGTCTGACTCAGTACATGTTTGTGAAGACTTTGAACTCAATATGCAGTGGTCAGCCTGAAAAACTAACAGTGACTGGATTGCCCACACACACCAAAACAAGATGCGGAGAAATCAGGCAACGATAAGCAGTTTAAGCATGTTTTTACAGCTCTGAGCTACGAACCTGCTGGTGTGTTTACAACAATCAGGATGAACCATCTTTTCAGATGTTAAAAGCTTTCCCCTTCCTCTTACATAAGGAGTCACCTCAGGTCAGCTTTGCAAAAAACAAGTGGTGGGGCCCCAGAGGGCAACAGCTGGGGGAGCTGATCTTTTTTTAAAATTTGTTTTGCAATGCATCCATATGAATAAATAAAAAAGAAAGTAATTAGAATTATATCCTGTATGCTCAGCTGCCATGTAAAACTCTGCTGGTGATGTGTCTCCAACAGAGGGACCGTAAAAAACAGAGCTGGCACACATATGACACAAACAAGTGTATATAAGGAAAATCAGTTAAGCCTAATTATTATTAAAATGATCATCCAGTAGAGTCTTACCCATGCAGTTGATGTTGTCGGTGAGTATGTAGCCTTCTTCACACATGCAGTGGAAGCTACCTGGGATATTCTGACATATTTGATTACATCCGGCATGAAGTTCAGGATCTGAACACTCATCGACGTCTGCCCAATCGATACGCCGCACAAAAATAACAGCAGCAGGTCCCATAGATTAGGAATGAATGATTGCTGGATGTATTTTGGTAAAAAATGATGAAAAATGTTTAAAATGCCAAAAGACTAAATGAGAACTCACCTTCCTCACAGCGCGGCCCCTTCCAGCCCTGCTTGCACACACATGTGAAGGTAGCCATGCCGTCCTCGCAGCGCTCTGAACCCTCCTTGTAGCATGGAAATGGCGTGCACTGATTACTGATCTCTGGTTTTGGAAACACAGCATTTGACAGCTACAGAGAAGTGTAACAGGCATATAAAAAGCTTAGTTTGAGGTTTAAGCTCACCTTTCACACAGGTGCGAAGGTTAGAGGGGATGCCGGCATCTGAGTGCTGGCTATTTATGCCGACACGGTGTGAACCCAGACACGCTGCAGAAAAAAATGAGCGTTTATTTGAGAGAAACAGTTCAAAATAGGCAAAAATATTAAGAAATGTGATTAATTTAGCAGACTTACCAACATATTTAGGGTAAAAGTATTCCTGCAAAAAAAAGAAAAGAAAAAAAGGCTGTTGATAGTTTGGTATTTACTGATAAGGACAGAAAGGAGAAAATGCAGCTGCATCTTTAGCTTTTACTATTTTACAGCAAGAGCCCAAACAGATGAGACGGAGACATTTAGAAACAAAGTCAGAGTGAGAGATAAGGCTGAGATGGTTTGGACATGTGCAGAGAAGGTATGGTGGATATTTTGGCAAAAAAAATAATGACTAGGGAGCTGCAGGGCAGGATTAAAAACACAGAGAGGATTTATGGATGCAGTGAAGGAGGTGACAGGGGAGGATGCTAGGGATAGGGTGAGATAGAGGTACATGATCCTCTCTGGTGCCCCCTAAAAGGAGCTGAAGATGAAGAAGCAGTAAACACTTGCAGTACAGATCTTTTTTTTTCCTACTATAACTGAGCTTTTTCTTTCTATTTTGTACAGAATCTTATTCTATTTTGTTGGTACTTTATTCTATTGTATATAGTATCTCGTTCTTGTTGTATAGTATGTTATTCTATTTTATCTTCTCCTATTCTATTGAGTTTTTCTTAACTTTTACTGCTCTTGAACTTGTACTTTCTGTCGTGACCAAAAAATTCCCACGTGTGGGACTAATAAAGGTTTATCTTATCTCTTATCTTAAACAACTTGGAGCTCCCTAACCACCGATTACACACCCTCGTTACTGTGTTACTAATCACGTTCATTAAAGCTCTGTGCCTTCATAATGTCATTAGTAACACATGCTGGATAACAGCCAAAAATCCAATCCACTGTTACAACTTTTGCTGCTTATTTCATCTTCTTCTTCACTGCCATCTAGTCACTTCAGTTTGACCTGGCTTTCCCTGTCAGCTCTCACCGTTTCCGGTTGGTTCTCAAAGATCTCCCTGGCCTCCTCCTTGTTGCACAGCTCCTCGATGCATTCCCTTTCCAGGTTGCCCTTCTTGCTCTCCTCAAACATTGAGTTGGCCCTCCTGTGCCTGCTCAGGAACTGCGAGGCTGTGCTCTGGCTCAAGACTATGGGAGACACAAACACTTATGTGTACAGCGCATGCATGTAGCACATCTTTTAACTGTCAGCTCTGTTTTGAGTCCAACAAACCTATTGCTGGTTAATATAAACACCTGTAACAACATTACAATAAAAATAAATGACTGATGCCCGTAGGAATTAAAGCCTCCTCTGTCATGACAGCTCTCCCGAGGCTTCTGCCTAAATGGATGAAGAGGGCAGCTTAATTACTTTTAGATGAATTGGCCCGAAAAGAGGTAGGGAGTGTTATTGCGAAACCGCCAGTTCTCAGAAATGACCCCTAGTTGCTGTAACAAGCACTTCACGTTGTTTTCCAAGCATTGTTTCATGGTGAACAACGGAGCCATGTGACCCTCACATATGCTAAAAGTGATTACAAAAAATATTGAAGTCCTGAAACGGTTCCCAGCTGGTCTCATCCAGTCTGTGAACTGCTCTCTTCAAACTGGGACACTCTGACTAAACACTACAGTCCAGCTCAACACGTAAAACCGCAAAACCTCAAGCATACTTACACCGATAAGCATCGACCAGCGTCACCAGTAACACGAGACAAGCCAGGGGTTCCCCAAGAGCACGCTTCTTTCTCCACATAGTCGAGCCGTTCCTCCTGCTAGGCCACGGTTTGGCTGCGAGTAGAGACTGGCTGAGCGGCAGGTCCGTTTGGGAAAAAAACTTTATTCTTCCCGAAAGTGTTTTTCGTCGGGTGAGATGGGGGGGAGCACAGGCAGCTGCCAGCAGAGCGGGACACGGAGGGGTTGTGTGTGTGTGTGTGTGTGTGTGTGTGTGGAGTATGAGGAGAGGGGAGGCAGCTAGGGAACGCTGCACGCACGCTCACGCGCTCTGTGCCGTTATTTCTTTTTCCACCGAGCGTGCGCGTGCGGCTCGGCTCAGGCTGAACTCATGCAGAAAATAGGTTTATTAAAGGAGGCCCGGGACACACTGTGTAGGTAAATAACCACAACACTCTGTGCTGAACAGGCTGCTCTAGTATCAGGAATAGTTATAATACTTTTAATTATTGTTAAAGTCCAAATTATCATTATTATTACCCCCCCCCCCGTGCGCACACACACGTCAATACCGAAAAAAGACCAGAAAAAATTGGCGCAAATGTCTGGCCGTTGCTAAGCATCCAAGCAAAGATGGCACTGCCAAAGTACTTTCAATGTTTTTTACTTATTGTTATATTATTTCACTATATAGTATAGCAGCAGTTATAATAGTAATAATAATCATCATCGTGTAAACCTCGTTATGTATTTATTTTTTTGTCATATTTAATTTGTGTAGATTAGAATATGTAGTAGATAAAAAAAAAAAGCTGTATATTAGGTTTCACATACATTTCTTTATTGCCACTTACCTCACTTTATAATGCCATGTGTAACATTTAAATGATCTGTTATGGCATCGTGTGAAAGGTTCCTACTTCGTGTTTAAGGTGGGCCTTTTTTGGAGTGTAATGTGCTCTGAGTAATAATGATAATATTAACGTCTTTATCAGTGTGATGCTACAAGATTGGCATACTTAGGCAGGGCAATTCTAACAAAACATTATAAATCTGCTAATGTGAGTTTGTACAGTAGACTTTACTGATAAGTAATAAATGACACAGACACCAGATTTGCATTAATAATTGTTTCATTTGGTTACTCGGGGGAAAACACATCACATTTTCACCATTCATTCAATTGTTTTATGTACACAAATAACAGGCTTATTTTAATACTTTTAAAATATTTGTACAAAATACACTGTTCTCCCTTTTATAATATGTGTTTATCTGAAGAGGCATCTGACTGCAAAACATCAGCAGATGTGCATTGTTAATTTGTGATCACTTGACAGGCTTATCGAGGGCTTGTTAATATTATTGCATGCTGAAACACCGTTATTGCATAATTCATTCCTTTTATGGGTATCGGGGTTGGAGGAGTCATACCCACACCAACTTTGCTGGGAATTCTGGGAAGGTTTGAATGAAAGTTATAATAAATATGAGTTTCATAAACCTGAGGAGAGTTAGTAACCTGTAGGGGGAGGAAAACCTGAAAGAGGTTAAACCCAGGCTGCTCTCTTAATATTTTTTTACTGTTCATAAGAAATCTGGGGAGAATAGATTGGCAAAATCTTCTTGAAAAGAAACAGTGATTGTATATGAGAGGAAAGAGGGGATACGCTACGTCAGGCCAAGAGTGAAGTAACAGTGTCTTCAGTATAATTACAGGCAGTGATCTGCCTTTCCTGACCTGTAACACTGTTTGATCAATTGGCAACACAACCCATCATGTCAGTCACATGTGTCCACACTAACAAAAACAAGCACACACCCACATAACAGACACACACACACACCTCATCCAGCTCAGATACACAGGAAAATTTCCATATGACAAGATAGAAAACAGAGTCAAATTGTTGAGAACCTTCCTTATTTGACCCACCCAAAAAACAAAAACATATAATTGGATTAGTTGCTCAGCTGTTTTACAAACAGTACAGTTGTTGTTGTTTTTTTTATTATATTTATATATATATTTCAAAAAGGAACTTTAGAAAAGTGATAACTGGCACTGTTTGGGATCCTGTGACCATGGGGGCGAACACCCGCGAGGCTACATAAGCACATACTTGGATTCGGAAAATACAAAAGTCGTGGTTTGTAGTCGCTTGCAGAGGCTGCTGTCTACACTTCACATGCACTGTCGGAGTGAAAGACAAAAAATGCGTCCGCCTTTGCAAAAGCGTGGGACAACACAACACAGCTGGCTAGCAACAATAAATCCTGTACCTTCAATAGATTGTGAGGCGCTTCACAGCAGGTAGCTTTTCAGTGGAATGCATATAAATAAGAGTTCAAACGACAAGGTACGGAGGGAGTGGGAGGCTAACTCACAGAAACAAAAGAACCACATTATTATTAGGTAACCAGCGGGGCAACACAATCAGTCACACTCTATCAATTTCACAATTACAAACTAAGACAGGTTAAAATGTTAGTTTGTGTAATAATTAGAAGTGTATCTGAAAATAAAACATCCCTGTTAATGATCTCATTTGTGATAGCTGAAGGGGGTACACTGGCTTTTACTTATTTTCCTGCTTACACAGGAGTGAAACAGGCCTCTAGTGTCAAGCTGTGGGGCCTTAGCCCAGCGCTGGGTGTCGGGGAAAAGTGTCTTTCCGTTTCATCATTAAAGCTGCTTTTCTGACATTAATTATATTTATCCACCATAAATGGACAGTGAGTGATGAAAATTGTGTCTTATGACACAAAACAGCTGCTCTGCTGTAGTTATTAAAGCCAGTTTTGTACTGGACTACACTGTACTCTGCGTTCTCTAATATTCTGTCTCCCATTCTGTTTGTATCAGTATAACATAGTCCACCACACTGTACAGCTGTACCTGAAATAGGACTTGTTCTGTCACGTGCACATTTTCTGCATCTAAAGAAACTGGTTTTGAATAATGTAATTTACCCATGATTACAGCATAACCTGTGCAAGGGGAGGGGGAAATGCCAACCTGGGTACTGGTTACACTGGAGCATGACGACCAACCAAAACAGACCAAAGCTTTAAAAACAAAACGTGGAAAACTCTTTTAAAAGAGTTTAAAAATGTGGGCTATAACTGTGTGTGGAGAGATTTTCGGTAGCTTAAATGAAGTCGCTTGGTCTGTGAATGGGCCCGACGATCCCTTTGTTTGTTTTTTTGTGGCTCTCCCTGAACTTGTATCCCGAAGATGCTGGGGGGAGAAGCTTGAAAGTGAAAGGTACACAGGTATAACATCACCCGCAGAGGGGATAAGCTGCAGTCATTCCTTCTCGTCTGGAGCTTCGTCCGTCAGACGGCAAATGAAAGGTAACAATTTCAACAACATTTAAAATAACCGCACACAAATCAAAGAGGTAAAAGTCGCTTTCTGAAAAGTGTGCTGTGAGGCTTGTTCGTCCGAAGATTTGGAGGCGATTAAAGTGCGTGCTGGTCACTGTCAGAACTGTCCAGTGAAAACCTTTGTTCTCTCATCACGTCATGTAAAGGAGACGGTTACCTCTTCACTCATATCCCTCCTTTCCTCCACAAGTGCTCCTCTTTTTTCTCCTCTCTCTCTTCTAAAAGTGAGGCCTGTTTGTCCGAATGTGGAGCGATGCACTTTGAGAAACTGCAGGTAGGTCCATATACGCGGCTCTTGGAGTTTGGCAACAAGTCGTAAAGTTGTCATTTTCTCAAAACAGGTTCAGATCGGGGTGAAAGGTTGCTTTGCTTCCACAAGCGTCTTAAGGAAGTTATTTTAGACAAGAGAAATGCTTTAAAACTCAATACCAGACACAGAGCTCAGTTTCGTTGGATTTTTCTGCAGTAGAGAAAAATATGCTGGTTTTGTCCATCACAGAAACCGGATCCAGGGCTGTGGCTAGATGGAGTAGGTGGAGCTCTCAGACTGCTGGCGGATGTAGCACTGGAAACTCTTGTCTCCAATCGGATGCTCCCTGAGGACAAAGAAAAGGGGGAAAAAAAAGTGACTGCAGTGTTCTGAACTAGCGCCTCCACTTTGTTAAAGATATAATAAATGCATTCATCTATAAATTAACCTCCTAATACAACACAAGCAGTGCACGTACTGGCTGCCTATCTTTGTCTTCTTGAACTTGTCGCGTTTGTACTTGGTGTGCTGCTGTTCCAGCGTCTGCACGGCTGAAATGATCTGCTTCAGGGTTTTGTAGGTCTCCTGGGGGTCGTCTATGACGAAGGTGGAGTACTCCTCCTGCTCGGGGCCGTCATATACCGACTTACTGCCGCAGGCCTCTGCAGAGGGAAACAGAATGAGAGACGGAAATGTGAAAAAACACAAATGTGGGAAGTTTGAAAAGAAAAAAAAACATGCGCTTGGCATCTAACCTTGCATCTTTATCAGTTTGGTCATGTATGTGCTGAACAGAGAGTAAATTCTCTCGGTCTCTCTGTCACCATCTACGTCCAGCTGGATGTTTGCCGGGAGGCCGCTGAAAAAAACAAAGTGCGCATGGAATGAGAGAGAGCGGAAACAAAGCACAGGAATGTGAAGCTGCGCAGATGTTAACAACTTTATGTACCCGGTGCAGGGCGTACACCCGGGAGCCGTGTCTGCTGAGAGCTTGCAGCACAGCCAGTGGCCGTTGAGGTAGGCTGAAGGGTGGTAGGTGCTCAGGCGTTTGCGGTTGCACTGGCTGACTTTGGTCAGGATGTCGATCCAGTCGCGCGCCTCTACGCAGTTATTGGCCTGGATGTAGAGCGCCCGCTCTGGCTGAATGACCTGGAACATCTGAAGGAGGAGTGTGGGAAGAAAAGAGTGCAAGTTAGGTAAGAAAGTAAACACTTGTAGGAGAGATTTGGGCCCAAATGCTCAAACCCTCAAGTATTTCACAAGGGCTCACACGGGGGTCCTTACATTTTTCATTTTGAAAGACTCCTCCTCCAGCCGCTCTACAGCCAGAATGTTCTCTATGGGAATGCTGCAAAGAGCTCCCTCACCTGGTGGGAACAGAAACAACATCAGACATGGAACTGTTGAGGTAATAACAAACTGGATTGTTATGACTGTCATTGAGATGCGTGGTATGGTGTAAATACACATTTTATTTGACCTGTTCCGTCCAGCTTCTTTTCTTGTTAGGCTTTCTGCTTTGTGGCAAATTGTCGTGATTGAAAGTATCACTGGTAAGGAGTTGTACTATTTTCATATGGACTTTTAAAAAAAAAAACTTGTTTTACTCGTATTGTAGGTTTTTAATCTAACAGTTAAAACAGACAATTGGCTACCATTTCTAAGATGTTTAATTTGTTACACTTTACACCCATGCAGATTGTTGAGATCAGTTTTAACATCAATTATAAGCTTGTGACTTCTCTTTGTAATGCAATCCATTATTATTATTATTATTATTAGGTAGGATGATGTTTGAGCAGCTCCCAGAAGATAATTTTAAGCTATATTTCCAAATCTCTATCTCTATTTTTATGGCCTTATAGCAGAATTTGAAAACTGCTCATGTATGTGTGTTCAGTAACCTAATATCCTCCACATATGTTGGATGATGAGTATGCAGATTCTGTCCCATGTCCCCACCCTCCTGATGATACACAATCAATCGGGTGAGTAAACAACGTTACTGGGATCACGAGCAGATCACGAGAGCGCACCTTTCGTTCTGTGGTAGGTGAATTCGTGGTTGGTGAGACGAAACCATCTCTTCTTGAAGTTTTTCATTCCAAACCGATTTCTCCCCTGGGCTCTCTTTATCATGAACCTGTACAAAAATGGGAAAGAAAAATACGAGATGAGCATTTTTATTTCTCCACGCCGGAGAGTGTGCTACCTAAATGTGTAAGACAAAAAGCTATTTGTAAATGCCATTTTATTCACTTAAAAGGGATCGGCTGCAGTCCTCTATTAATCATTCCAGTTACATGCTGGCAGTTATTTGAATTAACTGCTGCTGTACATGTTTTTTTTTTTTTTTTTAAGTACAGTACAGCTCTCATAGATCATGAGCCTATGAGTCAAAAAATGAGATGGGTCAGCAGATTAAAGGTACCAGTGTTTTTGCATATTTTACCCCAGTACCAACAAATTGTGCATTAATCACTGACTAAAACAGGATTCTAGTGATTTATTTCCAGCCTTCCAGATAGCCACTGATTTCTCTTTATTCCATTTCATTATGAAAATATACACGCTAGAGATGAAATGCTAGAAAAATGATGCATGACATTATCAGCACTCATTTTTTTAGGGAATAAGCCAGTCAATTTCTTAGTTGTTCAAAAGTTATTGTATTTTTTTAAGTTTTGTAAAACCGTGTTTACATGTCACTCTCTTTTGCGCCTTAATGCCATCAATATGATGTAAATATCCAATATAATGGATTAGATATATTCAAGGATGTATTCTGATTTCTATAAACTGACACTCACATTCAATTAAAGGAACCAGTGGTTGCCTGTTGCTTGAAATCACTGTATTAAAATGTTTCTAATGTTTTGTGAAAGACACAATTCATTGTTAAAACATGTAAAACCACTGGTATGCTCCTTTTAAGGATTGTAAACAGCAGAAGGTTTTCATTTTTGCGTTTTAGGGGCCAAAGGTCATGTGAAATACAAAAGCACCAACACTTTCCCACAACACAATTTGAACTCTTTACTACAGAGTGAAGAACATGCTGGTCTCACACCTGCTGCAAGCTGTGTTGGAAACTCAGTTGTGTTTAGTAGCGATATGGTCACAGTCTAGAGTAAGGACATAAAGGGTCAGGATGGGGGCAGATATGTGATCCAAGAAATGCTCACACAGTAGTCCACCTGACATGTCTGTCATGTGGAGTCAAAACCCCTTCGTCATCAATAGCTCAAATTTTAAGTCAGTCTTTACTATTTACTTGCCATCTTATTCATCATCTTGCCATTTATTAGTCAGCTAATACATTTACCAGTTATTGGTCACTATGTCTAGTAATGAATTTTAGCTGTTCATTGTGTTTAACAAGAAACTGTGTTTACTTATTTGCACTGTTAGCAAACAATTAAGTTACATCTAGCTATTTTGACTGTAAATTCATACTTTTAGTTAACAATTTCAACAACTAACCATATTTTTAGTTAATAATTTCTAACTATTTGGTCATAATTTAAGCTAACACCCAATTTAATAGCTGTTCATTATGTTTAGTGACCAATATTATCTTTTTGTTTCATGTTTATCCATACCATTAGCTAACAATTAATTTTTATTGAGCTAATTTTATAAAGTTATTGTAATTTTAAATCTGGTTTTAATTAACACTTCATCATTTAGAAAGTATTTTAATGAATCATTTTAGTCAAAATTTAACCATGACTCTATTTAACAGCTATTTAGTTTAGTACCAGTGTTTACCAAAAGCTTTCCTTGTTAATCTGTACCATTAGCTAACAATTAGCTGACAACATTAGCTTACATATTAGCTTATTAACATTAGCTGACAACTAACTTTTGATGAGCTAACTTAACTATAAATCAAATTTTTAGCTAACAATTTAAATTGCTAACCACATTTTTAACAACTGACTTGACTACCTTTTTAGTCATATTTTAGCTATCCCTCCATTCAACAGCTATTGATTATATTTAGTGACCAATTTTTTGAAACTTTGCCTTTTTATCTGTAATGTTAAGTCAGAGTCTTACTCAGTTGTAGCTCGCTATTTTAACTGTAAATGCATATGTAAAGCTAATAATTAAAATTGCTTAATCTTAATTTCGTCATATCCAAAGTTTCATCATTTTATAGCAGTATAGCATTTGCCAATTTATACTTTTTGCAATTATTTTAGCTAGCTATTTCCACTTTTGACAATTACTTTGAATTACTTTTACTATTTTACTATAAACTTTTAACTAAATGAAACATAAAATGTAATTTTTGTTTTGTTTGTGTTTTAACTTTAATAAAATATACCCTCTCGTGACATACTCTACCCTTGGTTAACAATCACTGCAGTAACCCACCCCTGCGGTCACACTAAGCATGTCTGGCATTTGGAGGAACAACAAATTAAGGCCATCAACACTGGTTACACTTCCTAAGTAAGCAGGCTTAAAGGTGTACACTTTACTTTATACCATTACAGCCAGTGTATTCGTCGGTCTACTGCCATGTAAATGCAGAAAGATTAAAATCCAGAGCAGATAATAAGAGTTTCAGATAGTACAACATGACAGACCACTTGTATACAGGTCAGATATAAAGTAAAGTGCAGTAGCATCTACCACAGCGCATGATGTTGGTGGGAGAAAAAAAAAATACCCGGCTTGATTTAGGTGGGGACACAGTGCACAAACAGTAGGGGGGTCTCAAGGGGCAAAGCCTTTATATAGAGAATCTCTTACCTGCCCTTCGTGCCTTTTGACCCCTTCCCATCAACCCTCTTTATAGTGAGTTTTACACTCCTACGCACAGTTGCAGAAACAAAAGAGGGTGGGGATGCTGGTGAGTGAATTGCTGGCACAACTAAAGTCAAATGGAAACTCTCCTCCTCTTTAATGCCTCATTAGAAACATCAGAACAGCCAACGTGTCAGTACAAAAGAATCTGTTTACTACGTCAGATGGAGCTTTTCTGGAAATGTTTACTTTAAGGAGTAAAGTAAAGGCTGAATCTGCTTCACTGTAACGCAAAGGTCTAGTCTGACAGTCAGATTAGGTTAGTTTTGCATAAAGACGGGAAATGGGGGATCAGACTTATTGGCTGCACATCCATGATGTGATCTCACGTTCCACCACACCCCAAAGATGGATTGAGATCCAGGGAGGGTGGAGGGCATTTTAATATAGTTTAATACAGTGAACCCATTGTCATGTTCAAGAAACTAATCATGATTTGAGCTTCATTACATGGTCAAATATAGGCAGCAGCCTCCAGCAGTCATCAGAAGATGGTCAGATCAATGTTTGATGTATTGTGTGTTTAGAGACGCTCTTCTGCATGCCTTGATATTGCCGTTCTATTGGCTCAAATTAGCTCTTGATTAGATATTTGCTTTAATGGACAGTTAAACTGGTATACCTAATAAAGTGGCCACTGTGGATATGACTACCTATCTAATGAAGAAGAAGCTCGGAGGAGAAGTATTGGAGCTGTTTATAGTCTGCACCATAAAAAGTTTAAGAAAGCAGGCTCCTTACCCCTCTTTGAGCATGATTGGCGTCTCAATGCTCTTTTGATCCCATTTTCCAGACGTGGAGATCAGATCCAAGAACTGTGGAGGTTAAGCGTAAGAAGGCCATCAATCAAAACGTTTATTGCTGTGGTAAAAGTCTGGGTCGGGCTCATGTGCCATCTCAGTTTTTTTATATCTGTAAAATGAATGCTTTCACATCCTTTTATTCACTCATTTATTATCTGTTCATCTGTGTTTATTCTACTTGTGACACGCAAGACTAAAATACTATTTGATCGTGTGTGTGCTGACGGGCAGAAATTCACTGAATGCAAGAAAGTGAAAGAAAATCAAAGATCAAACACTCACATTCTTCACAGCGTCTGCATATTTCTGCTCGTTGAAGTAGTCGTAAAAAGCAGCCATGTAAGACTCTTTGAAATTGGCCTTGAAGGACACAAAAAAAGTATGTAAAGAGACAAGAGGTCAGCATTTTTGAATGCTTAGACTGAAATACAAAGGAAGTCCAGCTCAGAGACAGGAACGAAAACAGAAAAACTGCACGCTGAGCTGAGAAACTCACAGATTTTGACTTGGCAAGACTCCCCAGGGTCTGGATCGTCTTAGATATGAGGGTGAGGGTTCTTGAAGTGGCAGGGTCCTGAGGGCAGGAAAGGACGAATAAAATTAAATTCTCAAGCCGGACCAGAGCACAAAAAAGTAAAGCAGGAATGTTTAAACTTGGTTAGCTCTGAATCATGAAATAATTGCCAAAAAAATGTATTTTGTTGATTATTATACTTTTATTACATAAAAAAAATTGAATAATAATTGCTAAATCTGGCTTATAAATATAAATAAATATGGCAAATAATAAATCTGTCAGCACAAATAAAAGTGTAAAGCTCCAGAAAAAGTTCTGGTATCTCACTGCAAACTTTTCTGTGTTTTAATTGTTATTGTTTATCTACAACTTAGTTATTTTTGTGTACTATAAAGGCAGTGGTGGAGGTCTTTATCAGTAGGAAAGGCTGTAAAAAACTATAAAAAAAAAACACAGTTAAAGGTCCAAATCCATGCCTTCCTTCACATTTTCCAAAGCCGTCCAGTGGGTCAGACTGGGGTCTTTGCTGGACCGATTCTGGCCCCCAGGCCTTATTTTTGACACCCCTGCACTAGGTGTTAAAGGGTCAACCATCAAACTCACCGGATGGTGCGGTCGTAAATGGAACAGGTTTGGAGATAGGATGGCTGGAGCGAAAAAACGCAGGAAAATGAAACTGCTCACTGCTGTGTATCGGACGTCTTGGTCAACTAGAGAGAAGAAAACAGAAAGTTTTGATTAGACCTGTTCCAAAAGTCCACAACTTCACAAAAACAGGACTGATACAGGTTATCCACACAAAGAAAACATGTAAAAGCTTCTTTGTTCTGAATGAATGCCGTGCCATGTAATGGCCAACAGGAGGCAGCACAGTATAAGAGACACAGTTCATAATGTGTTACAGATGACCTTAAGGGTTGTAAAGGAGGTTTAAGTGTTTAGCAGAGCATAAAAAGCCTTTCTGTGTCCTTGGACATCTTGCACATCCTTTACCATCCTTTATTTCCTGTTTCATATTAGCAGCTTTTTTCATCCCCCACTAAGCCATTCATGCTCCAGGTTACCTTGGAAACGAGTGGCAGCAGACTCTCGCAGAGAGAAGAAGATATCACACATGACGGTGGGACAGCGAACACCAGAGGTTGTGATAACGTTGAAGATGCGGTCTACATAGTGACGAAGGTTTTCCTGAGGTGTGAAGGGCAAGAGTCAGAAAACACGCACCGGCACAAACTAACAGACTTCTTTGGTTTCTCCTTCTTACCCTGTTCGTCTCCAGGTTTTCTGACTCTTTGAGCTTGACGGGGTCGATTTCACAGGGCTTGTGTTCAGTGCAGATCTGCGGTGAGTTAGAAAAGCGTGCGATTATTATTTCATGAGAGATTTTTCAAACGTAACTCGGGGAAATGAAAAACGTGTTGACATCAAAGTGTCACACCTCATCTATAATTGGCTTGAGCGTGACTTGGAGATAGTGCATTCCTGCCAGCTTCATGGTCTCATCGATGCACTTAGAAGTCAGCGAGTTTCCCCTGAAAATGGTGTTTGGATCCCTGCGAAAACAACAAAAAAGTGAGAATTTGGAGTGAAAACAAACAAATACTGGTCTAAAAGTTGTAATGAGTCACTCACTGTGTGCGGTTAATTTCAGCATGAGCAATGGCGCTGATGAAAGGCACTATTTTGCCGTAATGAAGAAAGAGACGCACGAGAGGGATGGCGGCTTCTTGCTTCTCTCGACACACCTCCCCGAGAGTATGAGCTGTGGACGCTGAGACGGGCTGGACACAGAGGAGGGGGGGTTGAGAAACGGCGGTTAGTGGCACGAGTAACAGCACTTGAGTGGGGGGGAGGGGTTAGCAGAGCAGGTGCAGGTGCACACACCTCGACATTAGCAGAGTGCAGCAGCAGATCTCTGAGCGGAGTGTAGTGTTCGGAGGGGAAGACATGGTCCTCGGTGTAAACGATGTTCAGACGCAGAGAGCCGAGATCATCAACCTTCACAGACTTCCCCCCGTTCTCCCTGGGCTGCAGAAAGTACCTGCACAGGAAAAAGTGTCGTTTTATAACATCTTTAAAACTAGACTGGATTAAAAACGGACAGTTGTAACATGCAATCCTAAAGCGAGGACTGGGTGGAATATGTGCCCTGTTTTTTTCTCACCATGCGTCGTGTACTCCGGCCTGACCCAGGACCCGCAGGGGCACACGCACACCTCCCAGAAACTCATCCCCAAACTTCAGATTGCTGGCGTTCCACAGGTCCACCCTGAACACAAAGAGCACCACAAGAGGCTTGACGCCACGCCAAGTTCAGCGCTGATCCCGGCACAGATAAGACAGCAAACTGACTCACCTCAGTGCCAGTTTGTCAACATCCTCCTCTTCAACGTCAAACTGCCGCTTTGTGTAGCTCAACGGCCGCGTCACCTAAAAATGGAGAAAGTTTCAATTTGTTTACATCCTATTTAAAAAAAAAAAAAAAGATCTTAAATCATTTTGGGTGTAAAAGAGGATCTCACTCACGCTGGTTTGGGGCAGTAAGAAAAGACATTTTGAAAAAAATCTGATCACATGACAGAAATATGATGGATGGGCTATGTTAGAGTGAGGGGGGAGGTGCTGCCAGCTGAAAGCATGACAGGCAATGCACAGTTGTGTTCATGTGGTGGTTAGGAATAAATAGGACGTTCTTGTCGGCTAGAAATCAATGGGCCAGATTGTTTGGTTTGTCTGAATCAATCACAGTCTTGTCCTGCTGTCTGCTGGTGCTGCAACGAGGAGGCCCCGGCAGAGTAAGTTCCTCAGCGAGAAGGAGGAGCAAACACAAAAATGTCAGAGTGAGCGAGGGTTAACGGGGCCAGTGTGATAGGGGGTGTATGAAAAATATCTTTACATATAAGCTCATGCAAAGAGAGTGTTGTTTTTCCAAAGAACATTTTTCTAGTTTGTTCACATGTAACGTTGCTAAGCTGTGCTGCCATGTTTTTTTCTCTCTAAAAAAGCTTTTTTCCTCTTGGATCATTGCAACGCTCTGACCTTGGGGTGAATTTGCTGGGACGTCCACTCTTATAAAGATCGTGGAATTGTGCAAACATAGATTTTCCAGAAAGGCAAACAGCTAAAACTTCTGCTTTTAAAGAGGTGATCACACTTGCTGATGATCAGTTAATTGAGTGGATTTAATTAACGGCACCTTGATGATACTGACCGAGAAGTAAGGTTGTACTTAGTCTTTCACAGGAGTGCACGAAATCCCGTGAAAACTTTCTGTTTCACATGACTGTAGCTTGTTGATACTAATTATACATTAGCTTGTTAGCATTTGTTTATTAGCCACGCTTGTTTTTGTAAAAGTTACAATGTCTTCTTTATTTCTCCAATTATTTATCTTATGCCTCCCCTCAGTTCCTGTCTTTTTAATGCCTCGCTGCCTGAAAGCCCACTTTGGAAGCAAATCTGCTCCTAAAGTTCCAGCAAACATGCCCGAGTGAGCTAACAGGATATTATGTCAAAAACAGATAGCAAACACCTGGCATTGCCACACTGCCCCAAAGCCTTGGAGTCAATAGCTATGAGGGCTCTACGTAGTTATGCTCTTCATACAGACCACAATTTACTATCTTAGATTCTAAAAATCAATCATTCAGCTCGTGTTTAATGTATGTGAAGCCTGTGCAAATACCACTGCCCATTCAGTGGGAGGAACATATGAGGTTCGAGGTTTTTGCATCCTAAACTCACTAGCCATGAAAACCTCTAACTTGATACAAAAATGAGGTGCTGTTCACGAATAGTTTATCAGTAATTTGGGGATAACCCCTCCCCAAGTAAAACACAACAGTTTAACTCATCAATAACCTCGTTCAAGTGTAATCAAGAGAATAATAAGGTCAATGGCCTTTCAGAGGAACTGGGACTGTGAATCAGGCCACATTTGACATGAAACTGGAATATTGACAATTACACTTATTTGTATTGTTAATATATATATTTTTTCATTTCTTGAGACACTACCTCAAAATAGAAAACCTCCTCAAACTGTGGATTGTTGGTTTTTCTCTTCACCTTAGTCTTCTTGGCTTCTGACCTGAGCGGTAAAGAAAAGCAGATGGAGATAAATCATCCACGTCCATGTATATTCAAAGCTAAACATGTGATAAAGTTGTGCATGCTGACTTCTAAAATCACACTTAATTGTGTAAGATCTCACACCTTGAAGGACCTAGCAAGGACACGGCAGCGTAGGGGTCACATTGGCCGTTGACAATCGGAAGACCTTGGCACTCCAGTACTCTGCAGAAACAGACGAAGTGAACATCAGCGAACGAGCACACACACACACACACACACAGAACTGAAAGACATTAATATGTTGTTCTTCCAACTATTACACATCATAGTCCTACAAGTTGTGTCACAATAACAGCTGTAAAAACCCAGATGTTCTTTACAATATACTAATTATTTTAAGTTCAGGTGTTCTAATCTCCAATCCTTAATAAAAGAGGAGTTGGCTCAACTGTTTCCTTCATTTAAAAATAGCAGAAAAAGAAAAAAAAAGGTGAAGGATGAAGAGATCGCCAAATACCAATGGTAAAACAAAACCGTCTGAATATACTCCCGGAGGACTCTTAAAGCCCCATTACACTTTACATAATCAGTTAATGATATTACTCGTAATAGGGTCATGAGTACTGTCAAGATCACTGAGAGCTGACACCCAATCTCACAGCCCTGCACAGCCAGTAAGAGCTTCAGACCTCTAGTCAACCCGCCTATAGGATAAGAACAAAAAAGAAGCTATTATCGACACACAGAAACAATTGCTATTGTGCACGTAGCATCCGACCACATATGCAAGTTTCTGTGGAGGTAAACAAAAAAAGACTCAATACAACTCAAAATTCATTTAAGAATCAATTTTTTTCTAGTTTGAAGACATTAAAGAAATTTACCTGAATACACCTGCATATACTTTTTGAGATAATTGGTGACATCTGAAGCCTTTGTGAGAATTTAAGGATGTTTTTCCTGCTGGTCAGGCTAAATACAGTTTAACCCATGATTAATGTCTTTAAATCACTCCTGTGCCTTTCCTGGAGAAAACGTCCATTCAGCTTTACCCACGGACTATTTAACAACAGACAATGTGTCACCACTTCCTGTCATTGTGCAAAGAAAAAGAGAGGCCAACACATCTCAGAAATGGGTGCTGACATCTTGGGCTGGTGATGTCATTTGAAACAAGAGTTTTCTCGGCATACACGTTCCCTGTAGACTTGTTTTGCTCTTAGCTTGGTCTGCACCAGCGCAAAGTGGCGACTTCAGGTCCACCTGTCAAGAATGTGTGGCTTTACCAAGTTGAAAAAAAATCCCTCAACGTCTTAAAATAATACAAAACCAATACATGAATAAAACTATTCTTTTTTTTTAATTCGAATCATTGCCATCATTCTGTGTGAACGTTTCATTTAGAAAAATAGTTTGAATGCCAGCAGCTGGCACACAGTGACCATCGAGGCATTCTGGGACAAATCCCCCACCGGGCTGTGCTGAGAAACACATGAAAAAAAAAAGATGTAAGAAAGTAATTCCCTCTGAGCTGTTTGTCAAGTGCCTGTGCCAGTTTTAAATCCAGCGCCATTCAGCAACTACAGTCACGACTCAAGCGTCACTTGTGAGAAGTTACAGGAAAATAAGATCACGTTAAAACCATCAAAACTGTATCTTTAGAAAAAAAGACAAAGATTTAGTTTAAGGGAGAAAACTAAACACAGGAAGGCTTTTGGTCCATAAGTGACACCCAAGAATTGTGATTTTTCTAAAAAATGTGACATTTATTTCACCTCTTTCATTATAAATAAACACACTGCATTTTAAAGTAGATAATATATAGATTGTTTACACTTTATAGTATAAAAATCTATGATCGCCACATTTTATTAAGTTATTGACATCTTGCATATTCTAATTTCTCCCCTATGGTATAATGTTAGTATATTTTTCATCTTATTTGTGTGACGTAGACAGTTTATGTGCTACAAAAAGCAAGCTGTTTAAAAAGTTCCCTTTTAAAGCACTAAGAATTAAAAACTAACTGAACGCTGGCTGAGTACACTGAAAAAAAGGTCAGGACGAAGCGGTAAAATGATGTTTCAGGGTGATTCACTGTAATCTATCTATGTCTACGTGTCACCGCTGTCCTCCTACCCCATGACATCATGCTGTAAGGAGATTAGCACCCAAACAGGACACCCAGCGGGACGAATCACTTCCTGTGTGTCACCACCTGTGATGCACCACTAGTCACAACACATGATGAACCACACGGCAAATCACAGAAGCGCTGCCCGCAATTGAACAGACACACATGTATGCACACACATGTGCGTGCACACGCAGGTCCCCTAATAAGGAATAAGAAGTGGGCTGGGTTAAGCATCACTAATGCCAGAGCACTTCCTGGCCAGTAAGCTTGTTTATATAACCCCTGTTTGGCCTACAATCCTGGCCCCACGCTACCTCATCACTGCTGTGAGCTCTGGCATGCCAGACAGCGGTGGAGATCCAGACTTTTTTTTGGTTGTTTTAGTCCACATTACTCATATTAGGTTAATGTGCTTCACCGCTGCACCCATGCTTCCTGTCAAAAACAATATCACTCAAATAAAAGAGAAACTAATTACATCACAGCCCAGACAAATAGAGTGGATGTGATTATGAGTCAGTGTCTCTGATGGCTACACCACTGCGATATATGAGAGCAGGGACGTTATAAGGCACTTGTTATCTCCTGATGTTCTCCATGGTTTTACACGACCAGCTCCAATCTGCCTGTCAGTGTCTTGAGTCATCAGTTTTCTCAGCATTTTGTTTACCTGTCTGTTTCCAAACAGGGCCCACAAGGAGCCTGCATGAACTCTGATACACTGCCTCAGGGGACTCTGAGTCAGTGATATTTGCGGTTGCAAGCTGAGAGAAAAGAGAAAGAGAAATGGGAAAAAAAAATACTGAGGGTGGAAATTAGAAACAAGCGAGCACTACAAACCGCTACTGATCCCTAAAGGCTCGAGGCTACATGTAGCACTACATGTAGATATTACTGAGAGGTCAGATTGAGGCAAGGAAGAGGAATGTGCAAAATCTGCAACACGGGGATAGCTCTGTTTTTGTGAGTGTGAACACGTAATAGATCTTAAAGGTGCACCCAGTCTTTTTTTTAGTATATTTAATAGAAAAGAAGAACACTGCACTTATAACTATATATTTATTAGTGTGTAATTACATGTTCAAACAGACTCATAAACTTAAGTTACCTAGGAGAAGGGCACCAGTTTGAGGAAGTCGCTATGTTGCCCCGCCATCTTGAATACAGCAGTCAAGATCGACTAGAGACTAGCTAGAGACATAAGCAGTACGCTAAAGTTGGAACAATTTGTGAAGGCAAATTTTAATTCATATTTGCACCTTTAGACTGAAGGCGTGAAGGATCATAGATATGTTTTATTACCTGAAAACGTGTCTTTTTAAAAATAAGTTTGTCCTACAAGTGGCCACCGTAGCTAGGGTTATGCACTTGAATTAAGTGGGGTAAGAAAACAGAATTTGGTTAACTGAATCTGCAATCTACTGACATCTAGTGGTGAGATTTTCCCCACTGTACCTTTAAGTCTAGCAATAACCTCTGGGACTAAGAAGTGTCAAAAACTGCAGTTCCTCTAATCGCCACTTGAGGCTGAGTCCCACATTGAAATGTCAACTCTACATTAATATACTTGTATCTCAATACTTAATAGTATGTATTAAGCATGTATTAAGATGCATTTTTATAGCCCGATATTAAAACACAAAAAAACGATTTTATTGTCTCTGTGCAAATGTTCCCCACTCATAAATACAGTGGGAATTTATTCTTATTACTCTCAAGTCTAAATATTGTTATCTAGACAGCTGTTAAGTCTTAGAGTTAAGGGCATAGTCCGTTTGACTGACAGGCAGCTTCCAGTTACTCCAGTCACGCTTGACCTCTCGGTTTGTGGTGTTGGTGCCTTTTGGAGCATTTATAATTAAATTACCTGACAAATGATATGGTTTGCGGTGTAGCTAATTATGACATGTTGTGAGGTTGGTTCTGGCTTTGCATTAATTAGCTGGTATCTGTTTCTGTGAAACAGACCTGCAGAGTGTACAGACACAGCTTACCAAACAAGCTTGTTTTTACTAGCTTATACGTCAACTCACCGACCTGTAGTTATTAAAAAAGTACACAAAATTAACATGCTGACACTGAGGCATTAAAATGCAGAGTTCAGAAACCAATGCACGATGTCATGGTGGCTATGTCTGTTTTTATATCCTACTTTCAGCTTTCAGCTCTCCCTTATTCACGAGGACTTGCCACTGTTACATTTTTACACACTATGTCCTTCCTGATACAATTCCCAAGGGATTTGTGTCCCCTAGAATCAAACTCAGGGCTATGGAGCCACTCTGTCGACTTCATATAAATTCAGACAAGATAAGAAGAGATCTTAACTCTGGGAATACTCTAAAGTAATAAGACTAAAAACTTTGAAGCCTTCTTCTTATTTTGTTTATACTTTTGCAGTAATTTTAATAAAACGTAATACAGCCTGCTGCTTCTGCTTCTTTTTTTGGGTGATAGCGGTTTCTAAATAGTTTAAACACCACTTGAATCGAGGAATTTGTTCAGTATAAATCAGCAGGCTACACACTTACTTCATAGTTGTAGTCTTAAACCCTTGGGGGGTGTGGAGTTCAATCAGAAACATATCTGACTTTGTGTTTGAGGTATTCTGCTGTAAAATGAGTACTAACATCTGCCAGCATGTCATGTTTTTCCCTTTGAGAGATGGGAAGGGGGTTTAAATTGATGTAACCATCATCTGTGTCTTTGTGATTTATGGAAACTGAAACTAGCTATGCACTCGCCTTTAAAAAAGCCCCCTGTGTGTAGCATCAAACAAAAACTACACAAGACAACAACGTGCTTAAAATGTAACTCTTAGTAAAAAAAAACCCACACGGGACTCAACTCTGAAGACGTGAATGAAGCTGGGTCTCCAGTTTACAACACTTTAACTGTAAATTAATAACGGCTAAGACTTTTTTGCTTAATGGACGAGGCTCTCCCCGTCTCTGCCGTACACGTGTCTTTCTAGAGAAATCTGACTAGATGACCCGCTGCTTTCCACTCTAAGCTCCTTACCCACGATGTGCTCTGGGAACAGAGCCACGCTGGCTCGTCATCAGCCTGTACTGCTACACGCTACAAAGGCTGAAAAACCAACAAGTGCACACAGTCGTAAGCGTAATAATTCATCCATGAGCACAATTATCATTATTCATCGCTTAGGTTTACCAGTCACATGTGAATACAGTCACATTTTCAAACAACAAAAGGCCATGTACAAAAAAAAGTGTCACCGCCTGTTAGCACCATAGTGGTACAAAGAAAGATGGTATGGCAATGCGGGTAAAAAATGTACATTAAATATACGCATTTTTGCGTGTTTACGTGTTTGCGTGTATGAGTGGCCTCACCGTGTGGCCAGTTTATGGCTGATGACGCCACTGTCCGTGATGACTTCACTCAGACGAAGCTCCAGGTGCACTTTTCCCTGCATGACACAAAAACAGAGACACCTGTTATTAGCCCATTGTTTGTCCACTGAGAACACAGCATAAAATTCAGCCTGCTGCAGATTTTTACCCTGATGTGTGTACAGGAAATACAGCTGGTTTGTGTCACAAGACAAATTTCTGCTAAATCTGAAACTGAAACCGCCATGCGATCTGGTGCAAACTTGGTGTTACTCAATCTTATCTAAGGCGTGAAACAGTTTCTCAGAATAGGACCGATCCATGGAGAGGGAGTTTCATTCAACACACACAGAAATACGGAGTAATTTATCTCTAATAAATCCCCACACAAAACAAAAACACACAATCATGAACAAGTGGAATTCCTTCAGTAACAGAGACACTGTGAAAATAGCTGAGCCTGAACATCATGCTGAAGTTATTCTTCCTCTGAAGTGATTGGATTAATGACATGATGACAGTGCAGCGATGCAGCTGTCTAGAAAAACTCCATTAATTAACAGCATCAGTATGCAAACCTACAGGCGTTGGCTCTTTCTGCGCGATTCAAGCTGAGAGAACAAACACACGCACACTTTACACACACATGTGCACACAGGCAAAACAATGTGTCCTCTATTGAAAAGAGAAGAGAGACACTCTATCTTCCTACTTCATCTGATCCATCACATTCACTTTTCTCTCTCTTGTCTCGTTCTCTCACACATCCTTCCTCTCCCCGGCTCCTCGCATGAATGTCTCTCTGTTTCAGACCCCTGCTCTAGGGCTACACACACCCATCTGTCTGCAGATGTTACTGTTCACTGTTCACTGTGTCTCACACTCTGTGTGTGCATGTGTGTGGGTGAGTGACACTGCTGAATAGTGAATAGTAGAGAATACTGCACATGTAATAAATAAGTATGGTGGACAAGTGCTATAAAATGAAATCTGTACATATCATAACAACAAGGTAAAGACCCTACAATATTAAAACGAAAGAAACCCCAACAATCACACAACCCCTCTGCGAGCAAGCCCTTGGTAAATGTGGGAAGGAAAAACTCCCTTTTAACAGGAAGTAACCTCCAGCAGAACCAAGCTCAAAGAGGGGCAGTCATCTGCCGCGACTGGCTGTGAGCGAGGGGAAAGAGGACAAAGCAACTGACAGACACATAAGTGGTAACAGAGACTGCAAACAGTGCTACACTGAACATTAAAACGACTCTTTCACCCAGCGCTGTCCTTTAATCTTCCCGCAAACACTTCTTTTATCTTTGTCATACAAGATGAGTCAATGAAAACAAAAACCTGCAGTCCAAACATAAGCTCTCACATCTGTCAATCAGCTGACATTTAGCCATTAATTTCATTCATTCATGGCAAATAGAGAGCATAGAGTAATATTATAAAAGCTGCACGTTAACTCTTACAGGTGAACAAATGTTTTTTATGTAGACACAGAGACACAGGTGACTTTGACCCTCCAGTCTCAAATGTTTCAGGTGCACACACAGTCTGTTTGTTTGGGTTCTGCCCCAATTCAGACACGAACACACAGATGCACTACATCTATACATGGTGGAGGGAAGGTGTAATATTTAAAATGTTTTGATATGAGTACATTTAAAACACTTGTATTTCCGTACCAAAACAGTGCTGTTTAGTACCTTACCTTCAGGAGTATGATTTTTGAGCAGGGCCCTTTTCCCTTAAACAAAAGAGCTTATTAAAAGAGGATTTACTGTATGAATAAGTAAAGTGACACAAGTTCTTAATATTAGGTACCCTAATTAATATTAGATTAAGGACAGACCTAAGCTAGTGTTTGCCACTATAGCTCACAGGCAACCCATGTATCAAAAACTAGTGTCTGCTAATGTTGGCTAAAGGCAGCTAATATTAGCTGAAGCGTCACTATAGCTCACCCGGTTGATCAGGTGACCCATGTACTGAAGGCTAATGTTTGAAAATGTCAGCTAATGTTAAAAAACTTCAGCTAGTGTTAGATAAAGTTAGCTACCATTAGCTGGGGCACTACTATAGCTATCAACACATAAAATGAAGACTGGTAAGTAATGTAAGTTCATGTTTGCTAAGTTTAGCTTGAGGTATTGTTAGCGAAAGTTAGCTAACATTAGCTGGGGTACCACTGTGGCGCACCTGGTTGAGAAGGTGACCTTAGCCTAGTATTCAGTATTGAAGGCTAGTGCTTAAGTACTAGCTAATGTCAGCTAGCCTTTTCTTTCAGGCGCTCTGTTATTCACAGGGGCGGTCGCCACAGCAGCAGGAACTACATATTTGATTTGTCAGATTTTTTACACCAGATCCACTTCTTGATCCAACCCTACCAGAGATTTGTGTCTATACCTGGTCTCGAATTGGGGATCTTTCATGTGCTGGGTTAAAATTTTAAGACTTTGAGACTTTAAGCTTTTACCTGAAAATGTGTTTGCCACCAAGTATTTAGTTTATATTAAAAATCAAAAGGAATAAACTCACGTCAAAACAACAGTGGCACCAACAAATAAAAGGAGGGTCATAATGAAGCAATGTGGGCTTACAATAATCTAATACAATGTCTTTTTTTACACTATGTTTAACTGTAAGATGTTTTTTTGTGAAAATTTTCAAAGAAGCTTATCAGTGTATGGGGAAAAAAGGGGAACATGACTGTGCAGCTGTGTGATGGGATTAATGCTGTGAACTGTTAAATTTGCATTAAGTGGAGAAATTAGAAATGCTATTATAAGACTGACCCAAATAAAGGGTTTCTCTTACCAGTGATGATTTATGGTTTAGGTTTGCTTTGAATGTTGACTGACATTAAAAGTATTAAATGCCAGCTTTCAATTTTAACTGTACAAATTTTTAGGGGAGATATGAAAACCCTTTAACTCTGTAGAAAAAACAACAACTAGAGATTGTACAAAAAGAGAGGAAGAGATGAAAAGTGCACACTTAGTTTTGTTATGAAAGTACTCCGTGTCTTTGTACTGACCTGCACCTCTGAGTCAGCGCTGACAGGTTGTAGCTGGAACCAGGTGTCTTTCCCGTGATATTTCTGCAGGTCCTCTTTCTTCACAGCAACCTTGCCTACGCACATGTTAGCACACAAAGATAAATGAGCTGAAAAACACAACTCACTTCATGCATCCCAAAAAGCCTGCGTACTTCAGTGTGACGTAGATCGTGAATGCTTGACAAACTCTTACACAAATACTTACATGTATGCTCATGTACTGTAAAACCACATGCCAATTGCTTTTTAATGCACACAGTCACCTGACACAGAAATACAACAACGTGCATTTCGGTACCCTGGAAATGACCCCTGTCATTTCTTTTCTGAAATCAGTCAGAGCAGGGGTTTGCAACACCCACAGACATTAACACACATACCCACACACAGATAAATTTTTCCATTTGTGTGTGTGGTGCTTGAGACCTCACACACACCCACGCTGCACATCCAAACCCACCAGTACACACTGACACACCCAATGATAGAAACATCCGCCCACACAAACAAACACACACCTTTGACACGTATTTGTAGCCAAAACATTGTTCTGCGATAAAGCAGTCATACCCACTATACAGATACACATATACATATATGATGGTGTATATACATATATATATATATAAGCAGTTGTGGTCGCAAGTTTACATACCGTAATCGTGGACATCAATGTTTCACGATAATTTGGGGGCTTTTAATGATTTGTTTGAACTGTAATGATCATGTTTTACTTTAGCTGGTAGTTTGTCTTTGCCAGCAATAAAGGATTTGTTTGACAGCACTCATTGGATTGATCAATACTGAGAACAACGGAAATGTCCAAGGAACTCAGTGAAGATCTAAGGAGAACTCAAGATTTACACAAGTTGGGAAGGTCTCTTGGAGTAATTTCCATACAAGTGCAAATTCCAAGAACATCAGTTCAACAACTGAATGTCAGTACAAGTTATTCTGATGTTTCACCACAAAATCCAAACTGCCAACCTCAGATGAGAGGTTTTGGGGAGAAAAAAAAAACATTTTAAAAAAGGAAATAATGCATCCTTAGCTGTTGCTGTAATTGATGGTGTTTGAAAAGGTCTCCCAACCCAGAACAGAGAGATCCTGGATCGTGGGAAAAACATCAATGAAACATCAATGAGTCTGTACGTTGCCATGGAGACAGACACTGGTACCTATTGATGGTTCTGTAGAAATAAGTATGAGAGACCAGTCGCCCACAATTGCAAATCAAAACACAGGAAGTGAAGCGTGGTTGAGTCTGCGGTAGGTGCTGGACTGGATCAGTGGGAGGGACGCTCTTATTCCGCTCTGACTGGCTGTTTCCCTTTCATTTAACAGCTGATGTGCTGAGCATGGAAAAAGGTTAAGTCAGCTAAATGTCAGCTGTGACCTTCACTAAGGTGCTACTTTTGATTTTACGCCCTCAGCACAAATGAATGGTTTCACCAGGTGCGTGCATCCTAAATGAACTTCCTTGCCAAAACAATAATGACACCACCGCCATGCTTGCATCGTTCTGCATTATGCTCTCATGCAGCTGTTTTTGTTTATTTAAACCTGTAAAAATCAAGAGTTGTGACTCTGTCACTTATCTGGCTCTGCCTGCCTACGATGGAAGCGCCTACTCTGATACGGCTAACAATTTACCATCCAATCACAGGACAATGCCTAAAAACAGTGGGAGGTTTGAGTAAGAACAGTAAAAACCTGTGGTGAGTATATTTACCATGGCCCCCCACGCAACATATAACTTGTTTGTCTGTGTTTACACTTATACACTGAGCTGCTGCACTGAGGTTTGTCTCAGCATGCCTGCTCTGGGACAGAGGACAGAGAGCTCGACAGTTGAAGCAAAGGGTGGGTGGGTGGGGTGAGTTTCACACTACAGAATTTTGCCTTGGTTTCAGAATCGTTACGCCCGTAGCGAGAGGTGAAACGGTGAGGTTTTTTTATCGAGAGGAGCAGTTGCCTACTCACCGATACTGGAGTCCCTTCTGAAGACATCCCTGTCGAAAATGTAAAAGGAGAGGTGCCTGAAGCTACGTGGGATCTCGCAGTAGAAGTCCTCCCCGTAGAACGGACTGCAGGAGATAAGAGAGGAACTGTGATCAGTCTGATAAAGCAAGCTGCACGACTAACACAGATGGCGAGATTTTGAAAGTTGAGAGAAGAAATTCAGGTCACATGTCTGCAACATGTTCTGGACAAAGAGATATAGCAAAATGCAGATTCAAGTCACGAATGCAATGAAAGGCTTTGGAATTATTCAAAGAAAAAATGATCGGATCTTTCATTATCATGAGAAACTATTGGTTTAGATAGAGAAGTCATACTGAGAAAGACAGTGTGCAAGGTTTTCTTGGTATTGTGAATGCAGTGGGTTTCAGTACCCCTGTACCCCTTTACAGCCTGTTGTGAACATGCCATTTAAGTGGTGCTACATTATCTTCGACACCAAATAACTGCCTTTTAATTCATTTATTTCATCTTTGTCTGGAAACAGCGTCATATTTAAAAGTACGGTAATACTTTTACTTCTATAGCAGTATTTCAATGTAATGTATTCTATTAAATACATGCTGTTGTGTTTGGAAAGTAACAAAGCAGCCTATCAAGTTTAAAGTGAGCTAATCGATGGACTGGTTGGTTAATCTGCAAACTATTCGTGCCTCCAAAGCATTTTTCAGTGTTGTCTGAACAGGTGTGTCTTAGTTGGGGTAAGGTAAGGGTACATTCCCCTCTGTGTAAACATCACAACCACATTTATTTTCCTTTCCTTGTTCAGCAGTGATTGATTTTGTCAATGAATCACATGAGACAATGAAAATAAAGCCCTCGCGGGCTAAGTACATTTTGACTCCATTGATTTAGTCTCTGCTTTCCCTCAAGTGTGAGCAACAGCGCAGATATCATAAAGTGAAAATAATAGTAGTTTATTGATCTGAGGAACACCAGTTTAGTCTGTTTAGATGGCTCATTTTCTCCCTTGCTGTTGGTCGTATGCAAAGATGTGACAACCGTAATCCTACTCAGATGGGAATACAAATATTAGGACATCTTTCCTATATTTTATCTTGTTCTCCTGCCCTAGATGCATCTGGCCAATAAGCAGACTGAATGTTTTCACATGGTTTCTAGTGACGCGTTTCGGTTGGCTTGGAGTTTTCTCTGCGTGAACAGAAACCAAACCACAGGAAAAAGCTACAGATTACAAACTCATCCACTGGTTGAGACCAGAACAAACTATAGGTCATATATATGTCAAAACATCTTTAGGCCGTACTGAGGTTTTGCAGACATGTGACCACTAACCACATGTAACCATGTAAACGTCTGATATTTTAGATATGTAACAGTCATTGTGACAGTATAGGTTTAAGTTAACAAGTCACACAGGTCTGGAGACTGGTCTGCAACCAGCAACAACTGTCACTAGGGACAAATGGTTATTTCCTGAACGGCTGACTTAAAATTTTTTGTGATTTCTTTTGTGATGGACACTGCACAGCTACTCTCGGAGCTGTAGTGAAACTGTGCAGCAAACCTGGAAATGGAGGAGGTTCGCCTTCAAAATAAAAGTTGTGCCTTTTAAAACATGTTGGCTTTGAACCATCTCCACTATGGTGGACACGCTGACATCAGGTGAGACACCTCAATCGTTTTCCCTTTCCAGCTGCCATTTTGTAATACTCTGGTGCTTCTTTTTGTTTAAATTCATGATCAACTTTGCCTTTAGGTATTATTTAAATGTCGCAACTGCATATTTCTGTAACTACACACCAAAAAGATTAGAAGCAAAGTTAAAAAGACAGAAAAATGGACAGCTGGGCCTGTACCAAAGTGACTTCTCCACAATCTTGGTCCTGAAGACTTCCTCTTGGTCCAGGTTGACTGTGCAGTAACAGTCCCTCATCTTGTTTGGCCCCGGGTACGGAGGGATGTTTTTTGCTTCTCCTGCACAATGAAAAGAACAAAGGAAGCATATTAAGTAGGAAAAAAACAATGTGTTTATTCAGGCTACAGGTCATTATTTATTAAAGAACTAGGAAAGCATTAAAAAAAAAAAAACATTATGTAAAGTTTGTTGTTTTAGAGATGAGTGTATGAAGGAGTGAGGAGGGGTCCAGAGCTGGTACAGTGTCCCAACGCGCACTCTCATTGTCATTACCTAACCACATCCGACACCATGTATAATGAGCTTAGCTTTGCCAGGGCGGCTGTTTTTATGTGCAGATATATAAAACCGTGGCCTCAGAAAACAAAGTGCGACCCGTGAACGCCGTGTCCGCGAGCGTGCCTGTGTCTGTGATGTAACATCTGTGAATGAATGAATCTGCGTGGGACACTTCCTGTATGTCAAACATGTGTGTCAGCACTCCCTTTAACAAAAATGTGATCCAGCCACCCACCGAGACACACAAACACACAAACCGGAGAGGTGGTACTCTGGTCCCGCAGGGCCAATTTATTCTCATTTATGAAGACGTGCATCCACTTTAGCCATTACCCTCTTTACCCTGGGGGGGGACTCACAGTGTTAACCATCATTGTGAACGTCTGCTTGAGTAACGCTTCATTGTCTGTGTGGTTATCTGACACTGCTAGCATACGCTGCTCTGTTATTTCTGGCTTTAAAACGTCTTCACAGTAAGAAGCATGAGTTTAAAGGGCGGGTGATGCTATTTGATAAATTGACACTTTCTCTTTAAGGCAGTACTTCTCTTTATCCACATTTCTGCCTTACCTCATATTTAGCATGTCTCCTTATGTTTTTATCCTTTAAAGAGGATCCTATGAAAGATTTCTAAAGCCCCGATGAGGAACTCCTCCATCATCCTGCGTCACTTTGTATTGATCTTGGGAGTGAATCCACACGTTAAGAACCACTGCCTTATCATATGATACATAACAATATAAACTTTGATTACTCTTACTGCACCAGGAAACACATCAGAGGTACTAAGCCAGAAATCTCCACTGCCGGGTTTCCGACCCTGCGGCTGACCCTAGGGGGGAGGGGAGAGAGTTGACATTTGACACCAAATAGCCGGGCGTGAAACTGCAAACCGGATGGCTATCTTCAAGTTATTTTTCCTGTTTCTCAGTATGGCTGCACATTAATGCAGCAGCCCCACTAAAGTTCCTCTCAATCAGCCCTACCATAAATACTAAAACATAATTCCCCTGCTGGCATTATATAATCAAGATTTCCTGATAACCGCATCTTATCACAGAACCAGGAAGGTGGGGCAAGATGTTCCACATTTCCTTCAACGAATCCCACAAGGAAAATTCAAAACAATCAGTCACATCAATGATTTGCTGACAATGCAAAACACAAGACGTGTCCTTTGAGCGTTTTCACAATGCGCTGTTGTTACTCCCACTCGTTTTTTGTAAAATAGTTAGCAGGCAAGCAGCCAGCTGCAAGCAAGATACGATCTGGTGCCTCCACCTTCAGTCCGTGACGCTGGATAAACCTTAAACCCTCGCTGAGACAAACAAAGACGGTGAAGTGCACCCTGTGGGGTCTGTAATACAACACGGTGTTATGACTGCTTCTCTGGAGGCTGATTCGTGCACTGCATGAATCGTTACTCAACAATTCACAATAACAACATTCATTCACAAATTAAGACGACACCTGAGCTCTGGAACAGGACACACGTGGCACCGCTTTGACGTATTGATGCAAACTATACAGCTCCATCTGCCTTTCAAGATGATGTAACCGCCTCTCATCTCTGTCTTTATCCCTTTACTTCCTACTGTCATTAGAGCTCCCTTGCTTCTGCAGCTCTCATTTATTTTCTCATATTTACTTTATCACCGTCCCGTAATCCTCCTCATTCACCCCGAGCACCCGAATTCCCTCCAATCTCCGTTTTCCACCTGCTTTCATTCACGAACTGCAAGATTGCAGATTGCACTCATCCTGGTGACCAGAAACATCATGGGATTACCACAGCGTTCCCAGTGAGAGTGCTTAAAGCGTGCAAATGTGTTTAATGACTCAACTTAGTAAAAACAAAAACAAAAACAAAACCAGCGCAGATTAAATCTATTTTTTTTTTTTAAATCAGTCTTGAGATAGTTCAAGGGGTTAAAAGTTTCAAATCATGAGGTCTTACAAGTAGCTTGTAAAAAGTGTTGTTGTTTTTTACAGTAAAGTTAGTAACTTTACATAGATGTCTCCAAAAGTTACATAGATGACTCAATATAAACAGGGGAAAGTTTTTTATTTTTATTTTTAAGTTCCCACAATAACCAACAGGATGTGCAAAATGATTTTGGTGACACTACTCAGCCCGAATTGCATGTTTTTGCAGTATCTAAGTGTTGCACTTTGTAAACAGACTGTGCAAAGTCATCTAACAGTGCGTCTTTCCAGCGCTAGATGGTGGGTAACAACCATTTTAATCAAAATGATGCAGTAAGTGGAGAACTGAAATCGTCCCACAGCAGCTAAACCAGCAAAGATATATCATCCACTTTCAACTATTTATGGTCTTTCTGGACAGAAGCTGCCGAAACCTCTTGAATCTGATTGTGGGTTGAAAGATTGAAATGATGGTTTGAAGCTATATGTAATATGTGGACTGTATATGTAGACAATCTGGGAACATTAGGTAAAAACACAAAACTTAATCATTTGTGCGTTCAAGTTATTTAATAGAGTTTAATGTTCATGCAAATTAGAAACAGCATAATGGGGGTGTTGACACCTATGAGTTCAACATAAAGAATATAGTTCTATGACTGCCAATGTGTCGTATCTCCTGCACATATTCAGGTCTGGTGATTATTGAAGCCTCTAAATGCAGCTGTTGTGATTTGGCGCTATATAACTAAAACTAAATTGAACTGAATTTAATTAAATGAAGGCAAGTTCGAAGTGTTCCTCAGACAGCCATCTGAAGCTGGCACCAAAAGTGAGTTAATAATATTTTAGTGTGAAAACGCACATCCTTTTATGTTGGTATAAAAGACTGTTTTCGACGCACTTTAGCTAGCTAGCTAGCTTACTAAGCTTACTAGCTTCACTTTGGTAATACTCCAATGAAAGTTGGAGCCAGTCTAAAGGTGTGATTCTAGGATTTGCAAGCTTAGCTACCTGCACATTGGCTTCATTTTCCAGACCCTGATTCATTAGTAGCGCCTACACATTCCTGAGGAGCAGCCTGTCACATTAAACATGATACAACCACCAGTCTCTGGGAAAAAGTTTACATGGAAGATGCCGGCTTGTCTGCAAACGCTCAGTACTAGCCAAGCAGTAGCATAATTTGAAAAACTGTGTTGCAAACCTGAAACTGAGAAGACCTTGGTTCAAAGTAAAAAGGTGTGCCTCGATGCAAAATCCAACATGCTTCACAAGGCACAACTTCTACTTTGAAGGTGAACTGGCAGTTTCACTACAGTTCTGGGTCTTGGCTCATTCATGGTCTTCCATGAAAAACACGACAACCACGACAATCCACTAGTGAACAAAGCAATCTGAGGTTTTCCCCAATAGGAAATACACATTTTTACCCAGCACCCTGTGGTTGCCAGGGAACAATGACCAGTCTCCAGGCCTCTGTGGCAGGAGCTTGAGCAATCGACTTCAGAGCAACTTCCTCCAACCTCCAGCAAACACTCCCCAACTGTTTGTCAGTTGGTCGCGAACCAGTCTCTATCCCTTTGTGACTGGCGCTTTTATTACTTGATCCTACGCTGTCATACCTATAATGTCCAAACCTAGCATCTCATGATTAGCGGTCATTCGACTTCAACATCTCGATACTTAACACTGTGCAAGCAAGCAAACACACAACATCAGAATCAAGATCGAAGAAGAATCTTCTTGATTTCCCACCTTCGGCCTGGACTAGCTTGCATACTGAACAGCCTGAATACACTGTGCTCGAGTGCCTGTAAGCACATCAGAACAGTTACTGCTTCCAGCTGCGTTACTGTGCAATTTACAAGCTAAAATAAAGACAGCTGCAATAAAGGATCACAGTGTTTCCATGCTGTGCTTTACTGAGGAACTAAATGAAACTGGCTGCTGCCTCAATGCTCAGAAAATGATTGTATGCTCTATAAAGACGACATGATCTGTAGTAAATACGCCAAACCATCTGTCTTTACCACAATTAGAAGTACAGTGTGACAGTTTCCTGTTCAGGAGAGGAAGAAGCGATGGACCGTTTTATTTATCTGGATGATGACCAGGAGAGTTTGTCAGCCTGAGAGTGGAGCATACAAACTCCACTTTTAGATATTTGTGTGTATATGTTTGATGGCGAGTGAGTGAGCCTGTTACAAAAGAAAAGATAAGCCTCTTCAGTAACCTGCCATTCATCATGTTAGATTAAAGACTTTATTATAAAACCAGAGTCTGTAATCCACCGTCTCAGCCTGCCTATCATTTTCTTCCTTTTATCCCTTTTCTCTTTTGGTCTGAAGCCTCCTTTGTTTGCGTTTTTATCAGTGCAGGACTTGTCTTTCACGCCTGCTTTCGTTTTCCCTTTCAAGATAAACTTTAACCTGATTTCACTTTCCCTACATCTCATGCTGCTTCCTTTTTTTTTTCATCTGTTCATTTTTCAACTTCTCCAGAGCTGTGTGTGTGTGTGTTCTCTCGCGATTCATAATAAGCAGAAAATATGAAAAGAAAACCAACAACAACAGCAGTTTTTGTTTTCTTTTCATCAAGCATCACCGCAGCTGCCCTTGGAGAATATCCTGCCCTAGTATCTGAGCAAAACAAGCAAACACACACACTTTGCACGTGTTTCTGTGTGCACGCAAAACAGGGGGAGGCACTGAGCTGAGATGACAGGAGAAAAGTGAACAGCCGAATGAGACACTTAAAAAGAAACCTTACATCCCTGCAGAGGAAAGAAAAAAAAAAAACAACGGAAGAAATGAGGAAACGGAAGCCGGCGAAGCCAATGCGATGGATGCAG